AATCATCCCCAATCCCTGATTGGTTTGCCTTTATATGTGACTTGACCGTTTTCCTCAGCTGCTGTTAATATTCTTTCTTTATTCTGTATGTTTGTGGTCTTGATTATTATGTGGCAAGGGGATTTCCTTTTGTGGTCCACTCTATTTGATGTTCTGTAGGCTTCTTATACTTTCATTGGCATGTCTTTCTGTAGGTTAGGAAAGTTTTCTTCTATGATTTTGTTGAATATGTTTTCTGCCCCTTTGAGTTGGGTTTCTTCACCTTCTTTTATACCTATTATTCTTAGGTTTGGTCTTTTCACAGTGTCCCATATTTTCTGGATATTTTGTGTTAGGTATCTGTTGGACTTAAGATTTTCTTTGGTCAGTGAATCTTTGTCTCCTAGTGTATCTTCAATGCCTGAGATTCTCTTTTCCATCTCTTGTATTCTGTTGGTTATGCTTGCATCTATAGTACCCGACCGATTGCCCAGATTTTCTATTTCCAGCATTCCCTTAGACTGTGGGTTTTTTTATTGTCTCTATTTCAACTTTCAACCTTTGCACTCTTTGAATTGTTTCTTGCAATTTTTGCTTTGTCTTTTCCTCCATTTCTTGACTTTTTTTGGTTTGTTTTTTCTTCCATTTCTTTAAGGGATTTTCTCATATCCTCTTTGAGGGCCTGTATCATTTTCATGAAGTTGTTGTGCTTCATCTGCATTGGAATGTTCAAGTCTTGCTGGTCTAGTCTCTGTAGACTGGCGGTGTCATATTGGTTTTTCTGTTGCTGAGTGTGTTTTTATATTTTCTCCTCCCCATCCCTTCATTCTTCCAGTGGGGGCAGAAGTAGTCTCTTCCTCTCCTGGTGGGTACAGGACCAGGGTTCCCTTCTGGTAGATACAAGCATGTTCAATACACTGGTGGCTCTCTTCTTCCCATGGATGGAGGTGGGCTTAGTTGCGGGGCCTTGGCAGTCTCAGGGTGGCTGGACCCTGTCCGGATGGGAACCACAGTGTGCAGTCCCCAGGCCTCAGCTGGTTGCATGCAGGGCACTAGAAGGCAGGCCAGAAATAGGTCCATGTTTACCTCTGTCTGTCTGGTGGGTGAAGAAAGGGACTAGGAGACTGTCAGTCTCTGGGTGGGTTGGCTCCTGCCGGGATGGGAACAGCCCATAAATGATTTTTAAGGCACATCAATCTTTGAAAAAACTGTGGTTTGGTGAGAAGTGATAAGATGTAAATGAAACTTGACTCTAAGTAAAAGACACCCAGGCACAATTCCTCCCAGTTACCGGCATGTTGAATAGTTTTGTCTTCTACACAAGTTCCATGTGGGAAAAAAGAGCGTATCTCCTAAACCATGGTCTTTAGATTTCTTAGACTATAGTCATGCTATCATCCTGACTAGCAAGTATGATGCTTTACATTGTTCCCATATGTAGACACGGTTGCCTGTTACATGAAGAACTGCTCTGCATGCTTTGTTTCCCTGTCTTCTTCTCTGGAGTTAGAATTCGCCTTCCCCCATTCTCATCATTTCTCCATGTCTCTTGTCATTTCCTCGGTCATTTATGTCCTGGAAATATAGCTTTGGCATCTGAGAATTTCATTTTACAGAAAACAGAGACAGAACTCCAAAGTTGGAAGTGGTCTGGGTTCCAGGTGAAGCCACTGTTACCTGTCATTCTGACCTGTGGGGACTTCCTGCATTGTTTTTCCTAATGATTTTCCTTTTGTCTTCTTTTGTCCTGTTTTTCCTAGAGCTATTGTAGTTACAGACAGAGCTCTCTAAATGACCCGTGTGTATGTGTGTGTGCGCGTGTGTGCCTTGTATGGCCTTTCCTCTTTTCATTGTCCCTTACTGTTTCAGCGGCTCCCTGGAATGCAATGTGAGTTTTTCCACGGTTGTATTTTTTTGGTTGCATATTATCACTTCACTAAGACTCCTTTTCTCTCTTATTAAACAGCAGCCTCACTTACCTAACAATGCCACTTTCCCTTTAGTGTCTTCTAGGGTACTAACTTTTCACTGATGCTTCCTCAGTTTCTCTCAGCATCATCTAAATGTTTTATTACTGTTATTTTTCTCATATATATATATATATATATATATATATATATATATATATATATATTGGTTTTACGAGACAGGGTTTCTCTGTACTGTTTTGGAGGCTGTCGGACCAGCCCGGCCTCGAACTCACAGAGATCCACCTGCCTCTGCCTCCCGAGTGCTGGGATTAAAGGCGTGCGCCACCACCACACGCCTCTCATCTATATTTTTAGTTGGAGATTTTTTGTAGCCATCTGCTTGTTTTTCCTTTGTTCATTCACTTAGTAACAAGGCATAAACCATAGCTGTGATCGCTGTCTCTGTGGGAGGGATTTGGGTGGTGGCACTGTGGAGGTACCTGTCTGTGAAGGCCACTGTCTGGGGTCACTCGCCATATCCAGCAGAGTCTTGTCTAATCTTATGCCAGTCACACTAGCACTGGGGTGGGGAGGTGAGAACGGGAAGGAGGATGTGGCTCTCAACACTGAGCATAAGGAAGTCACTTACCTTACTACATTCGTGTATCACGTTGTTGGGTAACAGCCCCAGGTGATAGGAATTGAGGTTGTACTGGACGGTAGCCCTTAGCCATAAAGGATTGTTTGGTGCCAGCCTGACAGTGTCCCATCACCTGCAGAGTTTAGGTGTGTCAATGGCAGCAATCAAATGGCAAAAGCCTCTCAGCCTGGAGATGAGAGGGTCTGGAAGGAGAGATCAGAGGAAGGTGGATGGGAAGGAACTGGAAGAGAGCAGAGGACTGAGGTCCAGCTGGATTACACAGAGTACCAGTAAAGGATCCAAGTTCCACCGAATGGGACTTACATTATTCACTGACGCAGGGCCACAGAAGGCCAGAGGTCTCAAGTGAAATGGAGAATTTTTAGCCTATATAGTGAGCTTAGAGGATGTCCATGCTCCCAAAGGAATGACTCCCGGGAGGTGGGAAGGAGGACTTTCTGACCAGAGGACCCTAAAAGGGTCCTGAGGTTCAACATCAGATGTAAGAAAAATAAGGCAGAAAAGTAGATAGATTCCCTCTCAATAGACTAAGACTGCTTCATTGGAACAGTGAAGGGCCCCAACTTTTATGTGCAATGAAGGTTGAGTGCATTTATGACGCCAGGAACAAGTGTATATATACATACGCACATATATGGGTAGCTAAAATGAAGTTATAACTGATTGTGTGTGTGTGTGTGTGTGTGTGTGTGTGTGTGTGATTTAACTGGGAACAAGGTGAATTGTTCTTCATACCCAAACAGCATTTCATGTGACCCCCTGTTTATGTTTAAAACTTTGGATAGTACTGAACCTTATACATCATATGGTTTTCTCCATACCAGTGAAGAAGAGTTCAAATGATCCCTCTTAAAGTCTGGTAACTACATTTACTGAGAAACTGACAAGTAGCAGGCAGCAGGGGTGCACAGATGTATTGACATGCGTGTATTGCAAGGAGCCACACAGAATGTGAAACCCAAGAGGCCCCGATGCTTGAGGCTTCGGTCTTGTGTTCACAGGCTGGGAGGAGTTTGGTGTGCAGACAGCCTCAGTGCCATGGTGAGCGACTGTCTGGGGAGTATGAATGGGACAAAGCCTGGTGTGATGTTTGATTTTTACTCTCTCCCTCTGTGGTATGATCATTTTTTATTAGCTTCATAGAAGACCAGGAGAAACTGTTCGCTTCTTTGACAGCCTGTCTTTAGGTATGAGATCGGTGAACCCGAGAGAAATCTCTCCTAGCCAAGCCCAGAACTGGCTGTGCCCTAAATGATCTGGTTGAGTCCAAAGTAACATATTTAGGGAATTATTTTTGTAAAGCTTGATTTAAAAATCAGGAGCAACAGGTGTCACGGCAGAGAACACAGGTCCAGTTCTTGGCACCTAAATGGCACCTCACAGTTGCCTGTAACGCCAGGTCTGTGGGATCTGGTCTCTGCAGGCACCTGCACAAACATGGTGCCCATGCACGCATGCTGACACACATATGCACAGTTAAGAAAGTAGGCACAGCTAAGATTAACAACTAGCAATGCTAACATAGAACCATTATAGCAATACATAAAACTAAATTTATTTAAAACACATTAGGTCAGTGATTCTCAACCTGGGGTAGAACGACCCTTTCATGGGAGTTGCATATCAGATATCCTGCATATCAAACATTCACATTACTATTCATAAAAGTAGCAAAATTATAGTTATGGAGTAGTAATGAAATAATTTTATGGTTGGGGTCACCACAACATGGGTAACTGTATTAAAGGGTCACAGCATTAGGAAGGCTGAGCACCCTTGTATTACGTGCTTCTGGAATGTTTCATTTGTTTTCAGACTGTGGGTAAGTGTAGATAACAAACTACTAGACAACCTAAAATAAGGGGATACTATTGTGTGTGACTTTCCCTTGCCCACTGGTGGCTGTGAGCCTCCAAGCCCTCCCTGCCCCGTCCTCTGGAGAAAGGTCACTTCTTGAGGCGGGGGCAGAGGATGGGGACAGTGTCTGTAGAGAGCAGAGAGGGAGCTAGGGCACTTGCATTGTACGTTCCTCACATCCAGTTTCCTGGAAAGCCTGCTCCTCACTCTGCCTTCCCAGCCGTCTGGAGGGCTGGGCTGAAGTTTCCGGGCTTGAAGAGGAAGAGCAGGATGGAATGTCAGCTGTACCCTCATGTGTGTCTCACTCTTTTACTTTCCGGTTTGGTGCCCCACTGTCGCTTTGCTGACCATCAGTAATAACTCGAGGTTACCCCTGCCTTCCAGTCCCCGGACAGATATAATCTATTGGATGTTGGTTGATTCTCTGTTATCTGGGAGTAGGCATTTCTGAGAGGATGGAACGGGACAAAAATCCACTGCTGTGCCATGTTAAAATTCAGTCTTTCAATGAATAACTTAATACATAGTTTACACATTTTTACAGAAAGACTTCTGAAATAACATATAACATTACAACAGAAAATGATAGTGTATAAATGAGAAAGTATAATACTTTATAGGGTTTTATCTCCATAGGGTTGTTGCCTGTATACTTGAATCCAGCCAGTGAAGGTTATGGGTAGAGGGCCTGGATCTTCCCCAGGGAACTTTCCATCTGGTAGATTAGATCAGACATCAAGGGAATGCTGTGACATAAAACAAGAAGCAGAGAAGGATATGGGAACAGCTAAAGATTCACAATAGGCCTTCAGCACAGGGAAATTCAATTTGTATCTGAAGAGAGGCTCTCTTAGAGGAAGTGGTATTTCTGCATAAGACTTAATGTCTGGGTGGATCTCCATCTATGAGGGACATGACAATCATCATTTGCTAATATGATTAGCAGCGTTCAGCTTCCATCGTTTGACGTGTTGCTTCCCACTGGTGTTGATGGTGAATGTCTTTCCTCAGGGTCTTGTCTCAATAGCAATCAGTTCACTTATTTCCATCTTAGTCTTTCTGAGAGAGATTCTCAAAAGCTATCTATAGAGAACATTCACCATTAATGACAGTTATTGATATCCTATAATTATACAAAAAATTGCAGTGGGATTCCTTTATCTTAATGATGCATGTATATTATTAAGAATTATAAATATTGAGGAATAAAACTTCAAGTTCACACACTCCCAGATGTTATTTTGGGGTTACTAGACTGGCAAGTTTTCAAAAACACAAGCAGTAATTAGAAATCTCTCACGATCGCTCTCAGAAACAGTGCTTAATTTTCAATTCTTTCATTTGAAAAAACTTGTAAGAAAACACTGTCAGAACTATTGACATTTTTATAGCTTGACAAAAATTAAGCATAATTAAAATGAAATATTTGTTGCATAAATTAAGCCACAATTAATATGTTTTCTGCCAGTGCTTGAAGGATAAGATTAAAACAGCGTCGTTAGCAGGCTCCCCACTGTGAGACTAATTTCCTGATTTTTATACCACACATCATCATACGCGTCCTCACAGCAGAGATTTAAATCAACAAGTGGAAAGCACTGATGAAGACTGTGTGCAGAAGAGATGAACCACTTTTATGGGGGAGCGAGGCATTATTGCTTTTTCCCTTAAGAGCTGATGACGAGTTGACTCGAAGGGTAAGATTTGCACTTTTAAAACCATTACAATACATAGAAAATTTCCCTTCCTTTTAGTTAGTTTTGACTTTACAATTAGCCAGCTTATTGTTCCAGGAGTGTTTACCATTTTAGAAGGTAATTAGAAAATGTACAAGATATGTGCTATGCACAGACCTACCCTGTGTTAACCAGGAACTAATAGTAAATACCAGAACCAACATTCAGTCCTGAACAGTTTCCACAAACATGGAAGAAAGATGTGTCCTCTTAGTGGAGGGCTACTTCTCCCATCAGTGTCTGCGGCCACACAAGGGGGGCTCTTGCCGTGCAAGCATGAGAATCCAAGAGCAGAGTCCTGAACCTGTGTCCGTGTGTTTTGCTCTGTTTAACGCCAAGTGTGGCTGTGACTGCTTGTAACCCCTGCAATGGGAGAGGCAGACCAAGACCAGACGGTCTCTGTGGCTTGCTGGCTGCCAGCGTAGTTGAAAACAGGGAGCTCCAGATTCAGGGACATTTTGTCTCAAGGAAATAAGATAGGCAGAGAGACATTTCCCATCGATGTCCTTCTACCCATGTTTCCCTCTGGCCTCTGTGTATGTCCACAGGCAAATGTACCTGTATGCACATAACACACACACGCACGCACGCATGCACGCACACACACACACACCAAATTCCCAACTGCCCAGACAACGTGTCAAGAATTCTATTTAATTTCTTTCATACTAATTTCTTTCCTGTGTTAGGCACTGTATGGGGACTCAGGGAAGGAAAGAGATAACCATTCACCATAGTCCTCTCTGCCTCCGGGTGTCCCTCAGGCCGTGTTGCTTGGGAGCATAAAGACACCATGAGCATTTGCAGTGAGGGGGTGGCAGTCATTCACCTCTGAGCTGTTGCCTCCATCTTCCTGTGGGTATGCTAGATGCTGGCAGCATACGTTTGGACTGTGACTGTCAAGGGAGTGACATGAGTAGACCCCTCTATGCGTGCAAGGCCAGGGTACCCCTAGGTCACAGCCTACTCTAAAGAGACAGTTAATCTTGTGGATGCACACTGACCAGAATTCTGCTTTGCAAATATCAAAGGTGCTAGCAAGTTTAAGTTGAAATTTTTACCCCAGAAGATACCATCTTTGGGCGGTACTTTGATTTTGGTCACTTGATGTGACACTAGTATTATAGTGACAAACTGGATGGTGTGGTTCTCTTGAATGGCAGGATCACTCATTCATGTATTTCAGAGTTGGGGGATGGTATTTCAGGTCCCCTCCCTGACAGCTAACTGGAAGTCACAGGTGCTTCACCAAGCCTGTCAGTCTGTCCCCTTCTGCCTTATATTTGCTGCTTACCTGTCCCCCATTTCAGTAAGTTTCATTCCATGGCAACAGGAAATTTTGTCCGGCTTAACCACCACTATCTTCTTACTGCCAAGGATTATGCAGTCACTTGATTAATACTTTTCAAAGATTGTATGAACAAGTAAATGAATGATTAATATCACTCCTTTAACAGGAACATAAAGAAATAGACTTAACAAACATAGCCATTTCTGAGGTCTGGTGTGAATCCAGGTTTGGCAAGTGGCCATGAGCATACACACTGCTCAACAATGTTTCACTTATATATTATCCCATTTTTACCTCACATAAATTGTCCTGATTTGAAAAATGTTTCTTTTGAAACTAAATTTCAAGTTATAATCTACATAGGTTATTTCCTGATCTGAAATTCCAAAATCTGGAACTATTTTTGGTGAAAATGGCATGAAACCATGAGTAAAAAGTCCCACACCATGAGACTTTGTATCATGTTCAGAATTATTTAAAGTAGTTTATGAAATTACCTGAGTGTGTGCTGTGCATCTGAAATATAAATGTTTCCTATCTGTATTTTGACCCATCACCAAGATATGTACTGAGTTACATATATGTAATTATTCCAGAATTCCTTCCCACCAGAAATAACCACACACATCTTCAATCCATAACATTTTGGATAGGGAAATATCCTATATATGGCTATCAGTCATTAAGAATTAGTTACAGTCTATATGCACATTTGTTTATCTTACTTGTTCATGTTCATCCCTTGGTTTGTCTGACGTTCTTTTTATCATAGGTGGCATAGCAACTGGCAATGTTCTATTGGAAGTTCATGCACAATGAATTTGTCATAAAAGAACCTAACTATAGAGAACACCCCTTACTGTCATTATATGCAGTAGTCCTGTTCTCTAGGGTCGCCACAAACACCAGATATTGAAAGTGTAGTTCTGAATACCCATGGGTACAATATGCGCTGGTATTCGGGTTCTGTGAAGAAAAAATAACCATGTAGAAATGAGCTTGGATAAAATGCTGTGATAGAAATTTTTAAAAGCAGAGAGGGAAGCCCAGAAAGGCCAATCTCTTCACTGTTTCTCAGATTCTCTGTTTAGCATTTATTTCTCTTGAGTAGAGGGCAAGGCCCTTTCTGGCAATTGTCTTAGGAGCTGATATTACTGGTAGACAAGGTAGGTCAGATGGTTTCTCCATGGCCAGTGCTGCCACAGAAAGGTGAGAGGAAGTTAGAATCATGTCTAGATTTTATTACTGGCATGGGTGGGAAGGGTTCTAGCTGTGATGGCCTGCCTTGGAAAATGGAGTTGTACTTTCTAAGATGGACAGGAGAAGATGAGAAGGCTCCTGCTCCTGAGCTCCCTTCCTTCGGTTCAAAGGACTCAGCCATCATAGTGCTACACTTCAGGACTTGAGTCCTGACCCTGAACATGACTGTACAAGCGCTGCAAGGATTGGATTTGGGATGACAAGTGAGTAGTAGCAGATTTGCCGGTCAAGGGTCTGGATCACTATGACAGTTGTTTGTCCCATGAAGTTCTCATAAAAGGCATAATACCCTGATTGCTGACAAATGTAGGTACTGCCTTCCTTGCAAAGTAAGGTCACACTTACAAGGCCTACATTTCTATTCAGTTAAGATTTATTTATGTATAATTGCATATGCATAATGTATTCAGCACTATGATGGCACGGGAAGGCAGATAAAGACCCTGGTCATGCAACTCTGGTATATGTGTCTGATACTTCCTTCTTGCTAGTGTAATCAGTCCCAACCCCATTGATTAATATCTTACAAATACTTCTAAGACTTAGGTTATCAGAGCTGTGAAGGGATACAAGGCTGTATCTGCTCATTGGAATTCTAAAGGCTTCAGTCACTGTGTGAGTTGACACTGGGATTCTGGTGACATTTCTATAGAAGCAGGTTGAAAGCCAGGCTTGAAGATGTGCTGCCCACAAATGACTGCAGGACTAAGCCCATGTGTGCTTTTATTCAGTCATGCCTTTGGCCAATTAGTTACCAAGCCCACTCTGTGCCCAGCAACTGTGCTAAATTAAATCCTGGGAATACGAGTATGAATGAAATGTCACCTGGCTTTTAGTGGGTACTGCCCTTGATGAGAACTTCCTTAGGGAGCCTGGTTACACAGAAGAGTTGCTTTTTCTCCTACCAAGAAACACTTATTTAGGAATATTATAATGTTAATGTCTGTTGTTATCCCCATTGTAATTCGTTTTCATGAAGCCATCCTGATATTAGCTCTGAAAATTTTTGCAGCATATTTTCCAGTAGATTAACCATGTGCAAGCCACATGTCCCCTTAAGTACCAGTCTCATACAGCATTCCTTCTATTTAACTTGTGCCATCTTTGTATACACAGATGATGTTACTGCAACCTCCTGCCATGGTATCATTAGTTGTGTTATAAAACTCAATGAGCAGGATATGGACCTTCCTAACTACAGCATAGTATCTAGTTGAATGTCTTATTTTGTTTTGTTTGCAGTGAAATTGATATCTATACCTATATATCTGTGCATACATCTACTTCTGTATAAGCATCTATTTCTTCCAATACATGGTTATATCTTGTACCCCTTTTATTATGAGCTCATGTACCCCATGATACAATATGTCTGTCAAACAAGAATCCCCATCATTTATCTGCTGACTCACACTCTGGAGGGCATTTATAGTCAAGACCATACACATGAGGGGAAGCTTGAAGACTCAAGAGACAGATGAGCTAAATGGCAGTGAAATGTTGAAGTTCTGGAGAAAGATGCTTCAAAACAGATAAAGAAGCAACTCAAATGCATAATTCTACAGTTTAGAAATGTCCTCACTGATTTAAGTCAATTCTAAGTGACCCTTGGAAAAGCAACTATGTAAGACTATTCCTCATAGTCACTTTGAAAAATATGTGCAATTAATAGTGCCTTTGACCATAGCTGGCACTCTCTGAGAGCCTACTACGCTGGACCCTGGTTCTGTTGACATTTAATTGCTAAACGATGTCTCTATTTTGCACTCAGTGACATGGAGCTGTCTATAGAGCTCAGACTGGCCTTACATGTGTGATCCACTGCATTAGCCTCCAAGTTGTAGAAGGTAACAAGCATGGCAGAGATTTTGTGACTTATTCAAGATCACAAAGCTTTTATAAGTGCACTGGGCTCACAGGCAGTGCTGCCTCTGAGTCCATGGCTCAGAGAGCAGTTGGGCAATGACTGCAGTCAGCTGCAGTCTCTGGGCAGTAGGCAATAGGCAGTGAGTCCTGTTCTATTTAGGTTCAGGTTTACAATGTGTTATTGGCTGATACATTGAAAAGGTGATCATTTCAAAGCATGTACAAGTGGATTCATGAAAGAAGGTATGAAAAATCCTAGGTCTTGGGGATTTAGGACAATACAAAGAATAGAACACTCAAAGCTGCTCTCTAAGCAGCTTGGAGTGAACGGAGAGGACCATCCTCAGCTGCAGCAGCAGCTGCCCAGTGTGTGTACTTTGGATAAAACTGTGGAGATGGTGTCATCCCATAGCTTCCTTGTGTGACAAGAGTGTGACAACCTGGATGCCTGAGCAGCTCTGACAAAGGTGTCAGTCATATGGCAGCCACTGAAACCATGAGTGTTGTAAGGGGAAGTCTGTTCACAGGATGGTCACCTGTGAGGATGAGAAACCGAAGCCTCACGCCTGTCTCTGGAGGAGTGGAGAACCTTGATGTCCTGGAGCACAGCCACGATTCCAGCATTTGTCAAGCAGGCAGCATGAGCCAGAGTTTGAGGCCAGGTGGATGGCAGAGTTCTGGACAGACAAGGCTACAAGGGAAGCCACCATACCAAGAAGGAAGAGGGGAGGAAGAGGAGAAGGGTGCCTTGGGGTGTGGGGAGATCACCGGTGGTCTTCCCGTGTGTACTCAGATCTTCCTAGCTTCTTCACACAGTCCATCAAACGGAGTTAGTGTGACCTAGTGAGATTGAAGTTCTGGGCCCTCAGATGTCAGCATCACTCATGCACCTACGCATGCCCAGATGAGACCTGCAGACTTCTGGGAAAGCACCCTTGGAGTCTCTGTAATGTAAAGTGCCCACTATTATCATCACATCAACACTGTCACCTACACCAGTTAATAATAAATTTCCTGGCAGTAAATCAGATTGCTCTTAGAAGGTTTGTTTAGGCTGCATTTGTTTGAAGCCTATCAGAATCTCTTTGAAGTCTCTACATGAGCTCCCACTTGGGAAGCAGAGGGAATCCCAGGGGCTAGCTATCAAGAGAATGTGGGTTTCAGCTAGGAAATAATTTTCACTAACAGCGCTTAACATCCAGTCAAATTTCCTATCTACTCTTTTTAGTTCTAAGAGAAAAATCTCTGAGATATTTTAAAGCTGGGTATATTAAAATCGCTTAAGGTGATCAGTGTGTACCTAACTTTCGATTTTCACCCTGCTCTTAGGGCTACGTCCCTGGTGAAGTGCCATTCCACTACAAGCATGGACACGGGTTGTTTATATTCTCAGCTGTGTCTGCCTGCTGAAAAGCCTTAAACAACTAGATAAACACACAGCTGCTGACCTCACGTTCCTACACTTGGGGGCGAGTGGCCCAGGAAATTCACTCTTTGTCATTTTGACTTGGGTTTGAAAATGAAGCTGGGCAGCATTCCAGCTCAAAGAGCCATTCAGTTCCAAAGACTCCTAAATTGTCCCAAGGAACTCATTGTGGCAGCGGATGATTTGTGTTTGGCTGGGCATCCTAATAGCAAAAGCTGTCTGGGCTGGCAAGCAGCAGCTAGGCAGGATGTAGAATCACCATCCCCGGTGTTTTTCCTGATGAGGTTGTTTTTCAGAAAAGCAGTCCCCCAACCTTGTTTAGCCTGACCCCACAAGAGCATTGTGCAAGTGGCTTTCTTGAACTCACAAATAAATAGCTTCTGATGGCAGGGTGATGGGTTTATTGTATCAGGAACACCTTGTATGGAGCTTAGAGTCGGTACCGGAGGTTTCCTGAGACCAAAGCTGCAGTTCCACGACAGCACTAGCTAAGGCTGTGAGAGTCGGGAAAATAAGAAATAAAGAAAGGCAGTAAAGGGTTTCTGGAAGATTTTTCTTCAGCAGGACGCAGTGGGCCAATCCACGTCCATCCACATGCTGTGAATGTCCATTGTGTGGGCCCAGGCAGGACTGAGTCTTGGTACTGGAGTTTGGACAGAAGGCAGTACAGTGCACTCAGGCCCGCGTGCTACCTGATTGCATGGGAGGGGAGACTCCTAACTCAGAGAAGTCCAGAACCAAGAATGCAAGCGCACCGCAGGACTGAGGGAGGCAAAGCCCTCAACTTCTGAGTTTAGTCGTTGTTAATCTTACCTGTACATGTAAATACATGTGTGTGTGTATGGACAGGGTGCTTGTTTAATAGACAGTTACTCACGGGGAGGCGTGATCAAAGTCCAGTTTCATCACATTGCTCCAAGCGTATCAGAGCATCAGTGCGGCTTACTCCGTTGGCCGTGCGGCTTACTCCGTTGGCCTTTTGAAGAGCAGGGTAAGTAGACCGTGAGCAGACGCTGACCACTGAATGGACTGAGAGGAGAAAACCTTACTTTATCCTGTTCATCTCCAGAAGGAGGATGGATGCAATGTGGACAGCCTCCTTCTACAGCTAAGGAGACACCACTGGGGCCAACCGAAAGAATGAATTGTTTCCATTTTATAAATAGAAACAGGCTGGGTTGGATAATCTGATCACTTTCATATGCGTTGTAACGGAGTGTCTTTCAGGGCCCTGGGAGATTTTGCCTGTTGTTCAGTTTCTGATTGTAGACTTCCTGGTTGTATTTCTTTAGTGTCCTTTTGGGGGTTGTAATCTGTGTTTCTTTCTGGCATTAGCTTTTTAAAAATTCTCTCTCCTTTTCTTTCTAAGCCTGGTTATCAGTTTCCCAGTTTTATTGGTATTTTCAAACAAGTGGATGATGTTTTGGATTTTTCTCTTTCCCTACATCATGAGTATATGTGTATTTATGTGTGATGTGCACATGTGTATGCTTGTTTACATGTGTGGGTATATAGGTGTGCAGGCGCATATACACATATGTGCACATGCATGCTTACATGTGTGGGTATATAGGTGTGCAGACTCGTATACACAAGTGTGTACATGCTTGTGGAGGCCTGAAGTTGGCACAGGGCATTAATCTCCTCACTTTTCACTTTGTTCACTGAAGCAGGTGATAGTGGGGAAATCAGAAGGCACTCAAGTGCAATGAGGCTTTCTTGTCTCTGGAGAGTATGACAGGAAGCCAGAGTGCAGAGTCATCAACAGCCCCCAAAGCCACCATCAGCCATTGGCTTCCAGTTCCTATGTCTTGCAAACATGAATGAATTTCACAGACAGGGGAGGAGTTTTGCTGAGGGTTAGAGCTCACGGGGAGGAAGCAAGCAGAGCTGCAATAGAAAGAGCCATTTTCAAGCAAGGCTGACACCCTCCCCCACCCACCGTCCCAGGGTCCCGACTGAGGGTTTGTACAGGTTACTGGGCTGCAGCATGGACTAAGCTGGTCAGGCCAGTTGTCCTACCCATGGGTGTCCATGCATCTCTCTATCCCTGTGTCTGCACAGGGGTTTCGGGTACACTTTCCAGGGCCAAGAAAGCATCTGGTCATTCCCGACAGCTGTGTTCTGTTCACTAAAGTTGCTACGTAAAAGAAGAAACACAAGCAGCCAGAGCACACACCAGTGTCCCTGAACAGTTTTGGTGTTTATGGAGTCACAACAGAACAGAAGTTTGGATAGAAACAAGAACATTTCCAGGTTTTGGACAAGGCAGAGCTGGTTCCAAGGACAAGGAACAGAACTCCTCATTTTAAGGTCCCCACATCAGAACTGTCTGATATGTTTCTGTCTCCTGTTTTTATCACAGGATCTGTAACTATAACCTGGGGCTCACCAGTTATAGCTAGTCTTCATCCTGTCTTTGCCCTCGGAGTGCAGGGATTGTGTGGCGCTGGGGGTGAGGAGCTCTACCTGCTGAGCCATCCCCCAACCTGCTACCACTTCCCGATTCCTGCTTGGATGACTTTCCTCTGCTTGATTGTGCTCCCTTCCTCGTCCCCTCGAGCTGTTTGGGTCGCCGGTTGAAGGCCTTGTCTTCCCACTGTGTCCTTGCTGCTCTTGTCCACACAGCGCTGTTCCTGGGGCGTCCATCATCATGAGCTTTGTTTCATCTTATAGTTCGGTTTGCTTTTCTCCTTTTCAGAAGTGCACTATCTAATTTTCAAACTTTTGGATGTTTCCATACATCTGGCATTGGTTTCCAGTGTGAATCTACTCTGTTCAAAATAGCACTGTATGATTTGTTTTAAATTTGTTAAAGTGTGTCATGGTCCAGCATGCAGTTTATCTCGGTGTGTTTCTATGTGAATCTGAGGAGAAGGTGTGCACCTGGCGGCTGTGAATGAAAAAGTCTATAGATGTCAATTACGTCCAGTTGATTGACAGTGCTGTTCAGTTCAATTACACCCTTGTTGATTTTCTACCTGCTGGATCTGTCAGTCTCTGATAAAGGGGCACGGAATTTACCAAGTACAATAGTGAATCCATCCATTTCTCCTTACCAGCTCTATGAGATTTTGCCTCGTGTATGTTGACCCTCTGATTCTAGGCACAAACACATTAATGATTGACGGGTCTTCTTGGAGACTTGACCCCTTTAGCATTCTTTAATGACTCTCATTCTCCTGATCACTTTGCTTATCCTGAAATCTATCTGTACAAAATTAATATAGCTATTTCATCTCTGTTTGGCTCATGTGAATGTGGAATTTCTTTCTCTGGCCCTTTACGGTCACTATTTGTGTTTTATATTTAAAGCAAGCTTTTAAACTATATTATTAAGGATTCTGTTGTCTTTTAGGGTCATTTAGACCTCGTGCATCTACAATGATTGTTAATGCATTTGGATCACTACCAACATGGCAACTTTTTTCTTCACTACACTTGCCATTTTTAAAATAATTTGTTCATTTTTATCGTATGTGCATTGGTGTTTTTCCTGCACATATATCAGTATGAGGGTGTCAGTTCCCCTGGAACCATAAATACATACAGTTGTGAGCTACCATGTGGGTGATAGAAATTGAACCTGGGTCCTCTGGAAGAACAGCCAGTGCTCTTAACCACTGAGCCATCTCTCCAGCCCCTACACTTGCTATTTAGTTTTAGGTTTTTTTCCTTTTTTTTTTTTTTTTTTTGGTTTTTACGAGACAGGGTTTCTCTGTATTGTTTTGGAGGCTGTCGGTCCAGCCTAGCCTCGAACTCACAGAGATCCGCCTGCCTCTGCCTCCAGAGTGCTGGGATTAAAGGCGTGCGCCATCACCGCCCGGCTGTTTTTTACCTCTTTATCTAGCACATCTGCTATTAATTAGTCATCTTATAATACCCCATGTCTCCCCACTCTCCGACTCTAAGCTGCAGTACCTAAGATATTTCTTATAGGTACTCCAGAGGGTGGAGTAAATATTTACAGCTAATGGGTCCACTTCCAAATACCACTTCCTTCCTTACAGTTAAAGTGTTTTAACAGATTTCCTTAGTTCCCCTCTCCAGACCCTTGCGTGTAACATTGGCGTCATTTGCCTCCCTCATCCATAGCTGTAGTCACCAGTCACATGACTGCTACTATGTATGACTTCATAGCAAAGACTGTTATTTGATAGATTAATTAGGAATAAGAAAAACTAAAGATTCATTTCCCTGTATATCTAAAGCAAAATTTCTGACCTCTGTCACGTTTCTTTCCTCCGTAGCATTTGATGTGGGAAGGGACTATTAATTTTGAAAGTTAAACAGAATATTGTTATATACATTTACAAAACTGAAGCAACTCACAATTGGGCTATTGTGTCCCTTGAGTTGACAACAGAAGAATCACTATCATGTGTCACACAGACACCAGAACTTTATAGTTCAAGGTAAAGAGCTCTATGAGTTTCTAGCTGTCCGTAGATGTCTGAGGTGTCATGCGGGAGTATGGCAAACAGGGGGCCGGAGTTGTGTTACCTCCACAATACGTCTGGAACAACAGCAACAAAAAGCCTGGCTACAGCAGCTGAGACCCACAGGAAAATGAGACTTCATTATACACAGCCCACCAAGTCCGTGCTACCCAAGAAAAGGATTTCATTCACATTCAGTCATTTGTTTTTATCTGCGTTTCTGTTGCACATATTGTCTCTACACTCAGGAGCAGTGTCCACAACAACTTCCATGCCACTCAGGCAAGACAAACACAGAGTGACAAGTGCAGAAGTTTTCCTGAGATTTGTCATCACTGATCCAAGGCAGTCAGATCTCAGTGACACGTGTCAGATCTCTGTGACACATGGCAGATCTTTGGTGACACGTGGCAGATCTCTGGCACACATGGCAGATCTCTGGGGACATACTGGCATACCGTGGGTCCTCCTGAAGCTTTCCTGTGTGTACTTATGAAATGTGGGCCCTCTCAGAGCCAGGCAAGGATGGAAGCCTCTAGGCCTTCTTTGGACAGAAAGTTTGGGCCAGAATTTTCTCTGATAATAGTCAGAGTCTTAGGAAGAAATTAAACCTCTACATAGTCTGATCATTTCTTCAAGGTATTCAGGGTTGGTGTAGGAGCTACCTCTTTAGGAGACTTACTGGTGTAGCCTGCATGCTGTGGAATCATCCATTTCTTAATCAGACTGTGCTAGTCTGTCTGCTAGCAAAAATCACTTCTTCTCCATGTGCCTTCTAAAGAGCAAGCTATGTCTGATGCTTCCGCACGTGACCTCTAGCACAGTTAAGAGGACACATCACATTCCTCTTTGCATGGATTCAGTTAGCAAATGTTTACTTGCCCAGATGTAAGTACAGAACCTAACCCTACCCCCAAAACCAAGACAAAGGCAATTGTGTCGCACACTTCTTGAAAGTGGGTGATGGGCATGAGCACTGCTTGTGTGCCACCTATAGACATTAAACTGATGTGTGCTTCTGTGAGTCTGCCATCCAGAACTCAGGAGCAGGCACAAGAAGGCTGACACATGTGTGAGGCCAGCCTGGCTACATAATGATTTCCATGACTGCCAGGGTTACAACGAGACCTTGCCTCAAAAAGCACAGCAAGCAAACAAATAAAAAGTGTGAATTTAAAGAAAGCTTTAAACTGCTAAAAAAATCTTAGCTGCTGAATGTGTGTGGAGGGTGTGATGAGGAAGCATGAGGTTCAGTTGTTACAGTCTACTGAGCGATGGTGCGGTAATGGACATGAGGTGCGGTTGTTATAGTCTACCTTACAGTCTACTGAGCGATGGTGCGGTAATGGACATGAGGTGCGGTTGTTATAGTCTACCTTATAGTCTACTGAGCGATGGTGCGGTAATGGTAGCAGTGTGAGCCAATGATGTCTCTGTGTGATCTGATCTCTTTCCTCTAGGATTTTCAGACAGTTCTGCCATCCTTCGACCTCTTCTCAAAGTATGGAAAATTATATTCGAAAGCTGGACAAATTGTGTAAAGGTATGCATTGTTTGCTGAGTACTTCAAGATGCATATGAGATAACCAATGCGATTGACTTAAGTGTCAGGCACTTAAAAATGCTATTTGTATAAAATAATATTCCATAAATTCCTTTCATTCTAACCAGACAGCTTTCAACCCTTGGTTTTATTTTCCAAATATCTTCTCCAAAATGGACTAAAATACATCAACAGAACTAACAGAATTCTGGGGTATTCTTTATCTTTTAATTAAATGGCATAGAAAAGATTTACACAGTGCCTGAAAATATACCAGTGTTATCCAAAAGGCTAAACTGTTTCTTGGTACTATATTAACACAATATAGTTAAAGTTTCTTTACTTAATGTGTGTTTTATTTGAGGGAATAGGAAAGAGTCTGGGTCTCTGATAATTATCAAAGTTTGCAGGATAGATAGGAAAAAAAAGACAGTCTACTGAAATTCAAAAACCAAATGAGCTTTCAGTGATCTTCCATTTATCACTAAGATGTTTTAGGATAAAAAAATAGTTGCAATCAATCTAAGACCAGTGTTGTGGTAAGGTCCTGCACAACTTAAGCAGTTATGAGATTAGAGACAGTGGACGGGAAAGGTCAAGAATAAGAAATGAGTGGGAGGGTTGCCCAGTGTCCTCCCAAGTCAGCAGCTGAGGAAACACACTGTTCTGTTGGGAAAAGCATGACTACATAAAGCCTTCCCTACATTTGATGTTCATATTTCTTTTGCCACATATATCTTTGAAGGCTCTGATTTTGTTAGTATGTTAAATACCTATACTCACTGTTTAGCTGTTCCAAAATAATACAAGCGAGAAAATGTAAAATATTCTGAGTTAGTAGAAAAAAATAAGAACACTGTTTCAAATATTTAAAGTATTATTGTCATTGAATATTAATTTATCTGTGAGCCATAATATGTTGCATATGTACGTGCAACTTTTAACCCAAACATTTATCAATTCTATTTATAATGATTTTTACAAAGGAATATTTCTTGTGTGACACTGTTTCTGGGAGTCATGAGTAGTCATCTGTTCATGCCAGATAAGAAAATGATGACAGAAAAAAGTAATCACACCACCAAAGTCCAACTTGGTGATGCAGTGAGTTTATTGATTGCTTATAGGAGTACTGGTAAGGAGTTACTGGGAGGAGTGTGAACACCTCAAAGGCACCTGCATCACAGAGAGCCCACCCCAACCTGTATGACAATTCATGAAAGATGCAGTCCTGCCTAGAGCGCTCTGTATGAATTTTGCAGCTCAGTGGGGCAGAGAGTCTACTTTCCTCAGCAGCTCTTACTGCTTATATTAGCTTGCAGAGAGAAGTCCTTTGCGAATCTGTTTGATTTCAGGAACTCTCTGACACTTGTGAGTTGTTTACTCCCTGAGTCTTAACGAGTCTTCTTTAGAAAGAGCTTTCTAAGTCTTAAGAAGCATCCGTCTAGGATGAAATGTTTTAATTCAGAGGAAATTACTAAGCAGCAATATTGGAACCAACTTCAATGGTCATTAATATATAGTAACTTCAATGACAGCACATATGGTGTAATTCTATGCTGACGCAAAAAGTGTTAACTAGTCTTTACCTACTACTCTGACAAAGCACCTACCTTGTATTTCTAAGAAGGCCGTGTTTGAAGCCATTCTGCAATTTGATTACATAACAATGTATGTGTGTACATGTGTACATATATACCAGCATATGTATTGAAACACATTTCTACATACCCATTTATATGGTAGATATGTGTATATATATTTATATATTGCAGAAATTATATGGTGGCTATTTCTGGCTTGTAAAAGATTTTCATTAACTTTATTTTTCCCAGATTCTGTTTTATATTTCAACTTATTTTTAAATTTTTCATTTAATCAGACAAAGGCAATGTTAAACCAAATTTTCCAGTAAAGTCTAATAGTTCTCCTTTACAATTACAAACATGGGGCCATTACAGTTCTACTTAATCATGATAACTTAAGGCACGGTTATTTCTTCTGAAGATAAAATACTTGCTAAATGATTTATAGTTAAAGATAAGAGCAAAAGTAACAAATTTCACATTGGTTCTAATTAAAAAGCCTGAGCAATGCAAAGACACAAAAATGTGGCAGGATTTAAAGAAATGGTTAATGACTCCTCTTAATGTTTTAAGTATTTTGTGAATTGGCACAATTATTAATTTCTTTTATTTGCCTTTGTAGCTGATCCTTTTTCATAACCTTTAATAGTTTCCCAAGTCAATTTCACCTAAGTCAGTGTATCCTGGACCCTGCCAGTGCTATGCTATCTTTTCAGCCCCATTCATCCCACACAAGAGACTTGTGACAAGTCTCCATTGTCACAAGAAGCTGAGATCACTGTTTGTATTTATGGATGGGGCGGCATGTGTGGGAGGTTTTCTGCATTATGTTCTGATGGATACCCCCAGTCTTGTAAGGAATGGGCTTCCGTCCAGCCTGTCTTCCTGTTAAAATGTGGTTCCATTTGGAAGCCAGATGAGATGTGTTTTAATTAAATGATGGGTCAGACATGAAAAACAATGTGCTTTTTCCACTTTCGGTGGGAATCTGCATATGAATGACTCAAAACTTGAAAATGAAAAATGAGTATAGTGGACACCTGGGTTGGGAAAGGGAAAGGTGGACACTTCCATTGCTGTCATACAGAGGAAACCGTGTTCTAGCAACTGGGTAAGGAAAAGGAGGGTGCAAGGGAAGAGTGCAAAGCAAGCGTTTGAGCTACACATTCACCTGCTAGGAGTTAAAATCTTAGCCACCAAGAAAACGTATGAAGCCTAGCCATTCATATCGGCATTGTGCGAATCTGTAACTGTACACTTAGTCACAGGGAGCTGGCAAAGAACAGAGAGAGAACACCTCCCTGTCACTCACCGGTAAACTGTCCTCATGCTGAAGACTCTGCTTGTCACTCACCCAGCTGCTCATGGGAGGGGTCGCCTGTGGCTTTCAGTAACTGAGGCACATTGCTAGACACTCCATGTGCTAGTGATACCCATCTTCTAGACTGCTAATCCGGATGTGCTGTCAGAGGCACTGGAGGGCAGGGGCAATAAGCACAAATGTCAGGGTCCTGGCTTCCTCGATGATAGGCGCAGTGCTAAAGCTAAGAGTGCTTGGCTGGCGTAGAGACTGAGACTAGTTTTAATAAGGTGCTCTCCCCCCCCCAGTGTGCTGCTTGGCCTTAGAGAACAGAAGATGCAATGTGGAGACGAGGTGAAGACGACGTGAGCACCAACTGAAGATGCCACTGCCCAGAGGCCCGGGCTCTACCTACACGATGACTACCTTGACTTGAGTCCCTTAACCTCGGCATGCTCTCAGGAGCCTCCCCTCCCTGCCTGCCTCCCTTCCTCCCTCCCAACCTCCCTCCCTCCCTCCCGACCTCTCTCCTTCCCTCCCTCTCTCCCAACCTCTCTCCCTCCCTCCTTCCCTCCCTCCCTCCTAACCTCTCTCCCTCCCTCCCTCCCAACCTCTCTCCCTCCCTCCCTCCCTCCCTCTCTCCCAACCTCTGTCCCAACCTCCCTCCTTGCCTGCCTCCCTCTCTCCCAACCTCCCTCTCTCCTTTCCTCCCTCCTTCCCTACTCCAGTTCTTTCTCTTGCTATCACTTTCTCTTGTGTCAGAAGAAAAGCTTAAAACCATTTCTGTTTCATTATAAAACTTTCTAGTTTGAAAGGAAAATACAAAGGAGGCTCTTATAAGAACTAATCAGATTTACCAATAAGCCAGACTCACTATGATCAATAAACTATGACATTCATTTTAAAGCTTGTGTGTATCTTGTGGGGGAGGTGACATGTATGTGTCATGTGCAGTTATTTGTGTGGCCAAAGGAGGTACATGTGACTATGTGGTGTGTGTAGTCGTGGGAGTATGGAGTATTTCATATTTCTTCATTTATCTTTTGAGACAAAACACCTTTTACCTTTGAGAATGCCTGCAACACCTATAGCCTTTTTACCCAAAGTGCGATAAGTGGGTGTATTGACGTGACCATCACTCTACTTACAAGTCATGAACAACTTTGGTCCCAATCCCTTCGTTACTGGACAACAATTTAAAATAGCTAATGTAAGTAGAATGACACATAGTTTGAAGTATGGATAGTAAAGAAATTAGTTAGCATAAAAGAGAGAAATAATGACACATTATCCCAACTGTACCTCCATGTCTGTTGTATGACACTATCCCTGACAGACATGAACAAACCTCATTCAGCCCAGGCAGACAACCAACAAGTGACCAAAGTGAGGATCTCATCCCAATCCAACTTGATGAGCCAGTGAGTTTTACTGAGGTTACTTGTAGGAACAGAAATGGATCAAAGACAGACAGCTGCATTACCCAAAGCCCACCCCAGCAAGGGTGACAATTCATAGAAGCTGAAACCCAGAGCCCAGTACACAACTTGTAGGCAGCTTTGCAAAGTAAAGGTGTTTCCATGCAGCTCTGTTGACTTGAATCCTTTGCAGGCAGCTCCGCTTGTCTGGGAGTATCTCCCAGCAGTGCTTCCTAACCCAACCCTAACCCTATCCAGGCCTTCCCCTAACCTTCCTAAACTTAGAAGAGGGAGGAGACCGGCAGCTAGTCAGTTTCAGACACTTCCTGAAACTTCCGAGTTGTTTAGTTTCTGGGTCTTAAGATCTCCTTGCAGGACAGAATGGTTCATCTCAGAATAAGCTGCTACACAACAAATGTCCTTGAACTTGAGATGCAATAGACACAGAGTACTGGGTATGTAAGCCAAATCAGGTGTTCTCAAAAGAGAAATGCATTTGTAGACCTGCTTAGATGGGAGCAATAACAAGGTCACCTGGTTTTGTGGATCTGGTTATTCCTGTATGACTCTTAATTGTGGCCTGTTAAGAAGTCAGGCTCTAATAAAGTTCTTATGTGTTTCAAACAGCTTGAGTTTTCCTAGGATGTTTATTTTAAATAAACAACTGAAGTTCCCATGTCCTTTGGTCCCATCCCAAATGCATCCTCACAGTGAAATTTTCTACTAGAGCTGATGTGATGGTTAAGACTGATTGTCAACTTGGCAGGGTCTAGAATCACATAGGAGACACTTTGTCTGCAAGCATGAAGACCTGAGGTCAAATCTCTACCACCCATGTAAAAAAGCAGAGAATGACTGTGCAAGCATGTAAACTCAGTGCTGGGTGTTGGAAGCAGGCCTGTGCTGAGTAGTTGCTGATCTGTCAGCCTGTCTGAAATAGTGAGCTTGATGTTTAGTGAGAGATCCTATTTCAAGGGGATAAGGTGGAGAGCAGGAAAGGAAGATGCCCAGTGTCCCTCTCTGGCCTCCACACAGTCACACATGGCCATGTGTTCAGGCTCTCTCATGTGCATGTACCACACATACAACACACACTGCGGTCATTCAGGAATAGATAAATGACCTGCTATTGCTCTTTTTAAAGAAGAATATCCCTTCATTGTTTTCAAAATTGTAAACTATTACATCATTAGTAAATTGATTATAATAAACCATTAATTTTTGCATTCTAATTTACTCAGTAACCTAAAATGCACAGATATTTTGAAATATTTATGCATAAAATGTTCCATTTTTATTTTTGTCGTTGTGAAAGCACAGACACATCCTAAGCTAAAAAACAAATGTTACCCTGAATAATAATTTTCCTTAGAAACGCTTCCTTTTATCAAGCAGGCGGAGCACACGTTACAGACTTTGAGTGAGAAAAGGAGAATCGATGAGCCCTAGAATGGAAGCCTGTCTCCAGACTCCTCCCCACTGCTACTCACTGAGATCCTTAGCCGTTCCTGCAGGGAGCTCAGGAAGGAAGGAGAAGACACAAAGGGAAAAGCCATTTGCTTCTATGTGTAGGGATGGGCCTTGAACAGAAACCTCAGGAGACAACAGGTAAGAAACTTGAAGGTCCAAGTACAAAGCCAAAAGTCAAGTGTTTTTCTTCTCTGCTCCTGTTACACAAGAGTAGATTTTTGTTAGAACAAATGTCAACCAGGAAAGAAACATAAAATGCAAGACCATGTGCTTGGCTATGTTAAAAAGACATCAGTGAGGCCAAGCCACCCGAGAGGTGTGAGCCTCCTCTGCAACACTGCTCTTTCCCTGGAGGAATTTCTGGCTTTTTTAAACACTGCAGAGGCAAGGAACCAAAATCTAGGCCGGCAGTGACAGAGAGGAAACTACAAAGTGAAGTCACCTTTGTAGTCTCACGGAGCTAGGGAGCTAGATGGTGAGTTCACAGATATGTGGGAATTAGAATCAGCAAATGAAATGTAGAATGCAACAGAATCACCACTAAAATCTATAGTCATTAATACATGATAATCCCACTGCACACAAAATGCACATCCAGATAATTGTTCCATCTCTTTAGAGCTAAAGAAACATAACTTATCCCTGCAACACGAGTTATTCCTCTAGTCACTGTTAGGGAGCACTGGAGTCTTCCTAGTCTGTTTGCAATTCTGTATCCCTTCATCTAAGTGATAGATGCATCCCATACTTTCCTGAAAGTATATTGACCTTTATCAAGTATGCAAGGCAAGGGTGCAAGGGGATAAGGCAAATGTCGTGGCCCTGGTGAATACTCTCTCTGAAGATGCCATTTTTCAGCCTCCTCATCTGCTATGTGCACCAAAAAGGGGGTGGCAAAGGCATGGTGTCTCCTTTCTAAGAGAAGCTACAGTGAAATCCCCATCAGACACTGACAAAGACTCCAGCTGTAAAATACACACAGCGGAAAAGCAAAACTGTACTCTTCGCTAGGCTCCTACCTTGGTCAATCGTAACTGCCTACTTGAAGTGCCAGTGACAACTACTATGCCTGTTCTTGCAACATTCCTTGCCCAGCCTCAACTTTATCACCTAAAAGTTTGAATGACAATTCTTTCAGGGCTGTTAAAGGGTTAAAGTCACTTAGCCTCACCCTTCTGATTCAGCATCTTCCCAATAAATAATTGGTAACATTGTTTGGATTGCTAGGGTACTGTCTAGAGTTGACACGAACAAACAGGGACATGTGGTGACATAAATAGCATCTTGAATCAAAGACGAGCACCTGTAGCTTCCGGCACCCATATTTTCCTTTCACCGTTGTCTTTCTCTTCCTCAGTAACTGCCTGCCTGACCTGAATTTCCTCCTCTGTACCTATAGCTACTAAAAGTCAACACCACTTGCTTAGAAGTACTGTGAGCCCTGAGCAGCTGGACAACCACACCTATCATCCGCCTTCCATCTAGACTTACTCTTTCCTCTCTGACGTCATGTAATGCACGGCTTTGGGTTAGCTTCACTAGACTTACTCTTTCCTCTCTGACGTCATGTAATGCACGGCTTTGGGTTAGCTGTACTAGACTTAACTCTTTCCTCTCTGACGTCATGTAATGCACGGCTTTGGGTTAGCTGTACTACACTTAACTCTTTCCTCTCTGACGTCATGTAATACACGGCTTTGGGTTAGCCTTTCTAGACATCGCCAGCAAATGTCCGAGGTAGCAGACTCAAGGAGACTTTGTTTCATCTCACAGTTTCAGAAGATTTAGTCCATGGTTGCTTGGCCCTGGCTCGAGCAGAACCCTGTAGCAGTGGGGAATCTGTAACAGAGAACCTTCTTGATCACATGGTGGACAGGAAGCAGAGAGAACAACGAGGAGGAACTGGACATGCCTGGGATGTGACTCCTAAGGACATTCTTCCAGGTAGGCCCCACTTCCCCAAGTTTACAGAACTTTGCAAAGTAGTGCCAGTGTCATTGGGTCAAGCATTCATTCACACAGGAGCATGTGGGAGACACTGCATCTTCACCCTACCACAGCATTCAATTTCTAAAACTGTATTCCTATTCACGGAAAGTATGATAAGAATTTCAAATGTTTCTGTGGACTCTTTAGCCTCATTGATGGTTGATGGTAGTATATTTGTAATTTCAAACCTACTAAAAAGGGAAGTTTGGTTCACACCTCTGTTTTTGCATGAAACTTCTGCACTCCCATGTTAGTACCTTCAGTTTATACACACACTGGATGATAAAGACATGGTCATGTAGTGAAAATCCTCTGCTCACCATGTGCTCCTATTAGCTTTTGTGTCTCAGATTTTACAAACATTACAAGTAATAACCTTTTTTAGTTCAAAATCCATGACCTTACATTTTTGGCAATTCCTGCTAGAAAAAATAAGCCACATTAAAAAAAAAAACAAGGCTTGGCAGACAAATGCAAATTTGAACAGTAAATTAGACAGTGAATAACAGCCTCATAATGGGGGATTCATGCTTTACATTTTGACCACCTAAAATTAGCTTAAGCCATTTAAAGTGCATTTAAATCTAGGTATAGTGGTTCCCCCAGATTCAGGAGGCTGAGGCAAGAAGATCGCTCAAAGTTCAACACCAGACTAAGCTAATTAATTTTAGGCCAGTCAAA